AATGAAATTGTACCATTTTCAACAACATGGATGGACCTAGAGAGAAGTATATTAAGTGAAACGAGTCAGGCACAGAAAGAGAAATATCACATGTTCTCACTTATTGGTGGGAGCTAAAAATAAATAAATAAATTCACACACACACAGACAAAAACCGGGGGTGGGGGGGAGAAGACATAACAACTACAATTCCTTGAAGTTGATACGACAAGCGAACAGAAAGGACATTGTTGGGAGGGAGGGGGGAGAAGGAGGAGGGAGGGAGGTTTTGGTAATGGGCCACAATAATCAACCACATTGTATATTGACAAAATAAAATTAAGGAAAATAAAAATAAGTAAAAAAAAAAAAAAAATTGATATTTTCCCCTTTGGTTGCTCAGGGATTCTCAACAAGAAGGAAAAAGTTTTTATGACCCTGATCAAGCAAGGAGGAAGTCTTTCCCCGCAAAGTGACATAGCAGTCAATGTTTTATATTCTGAAGATGAAGTTTTATTTAGTGTATAGATTCTTTTTTAAAAATTATTTCAAAAGTGAAATTATACTTTTTTTAAATATTTAAAAAACATTTTCGAGAGGCACACATACCAACTTTTCAGCAATGCATTAATGGTAGATACATAAACGGGGCTACCCAGACCCCCTTTGAAGCCAATACATTGTTTGAAACTAAGTAGATTTACACAAAACACTTATGTAAGGGAGAATTTAAGGTTAACTTGCAAATGGTTGGTGTCAAATAGACACAGCTAGTTATATTTAAAGGTGATAATTTGGAATTAAATTGAGCACTAGAAATCGTGCCAGGTTAAGAAGAAAAATGAGTTTGGGAGATTGTATAAAGCTATATTAAGAAAAAGATAAGCTAAACTTGCTTGTAGATTTACAAGGTAGAGATAGAAGTTTGGTAGATTAAGAATTTCTGTACAAATAGAAAAATTGAGCCAGCCCATCATGTAAAAACGCAGTTTTTTTACATAACCAAAATAGAAAAGCTGTTTTACTCTTATCTCCACTGCCATCTTCAGGTTTTTGTCCGCTGTCCTGTCCGTGTTCATCTTCAGAGTCTTCCACCTCCTGAATAACCATTCTCTTCCCTTTGGTTTGCTTCTTAGATACAGGTTCAGAATTTTTCAGATCTCTCTCAACCTCTGACAAGGTTTTCTGCAACATAATCACCATATTAAACAAAATGTTTTCTTTTAACACAAAATGTAACCATGTTTTCAGGTAAGAATATGAAAATACTAAAGAATGAATAAAGATAATTAAGATAAGGCTTTTTATGGTGGTCTATTTCTTTTTCAAAACGACTTCATTACTTTGTCTGATTTTATAATCATACGTGTCCACTGTAAAAAACTTAAAGTAACAAGCATAAAAAAGAAAAAAAAAGTCACCTGAAATCCTGCCAACTCAGATAACACTACTGACATTTTGATAATCATCTTCCTACATAGGCTTCTATGCATACAGACACACAAAGATGGACGAGCACAGTTTTACACAAATGAAATCATGCTACATATGCTGTTTTTTAGACTAATGTTGAAAGTTCTGAAATATTTTGTCAACTAGAATGAAAAAAATATATATATGAAACCATTTTCCTTTTCCCCTCATTTTTAACAGCTTTATTGAGGTATAATTGACATAAACTGCACACACTTAAAATGCACAAGTTGACAGGTCTTGACATAAATAACACAACCGTCACTCCCAAAAGTTTCTTCCTGTCTCTTTGTAATACCTCCCTTTTGTTCCTCCCTGCAAGCATTGTTCTTTGTGTCATGATAGATTAGTTTGCATTTTCTGGGATTTTATATAAATAGAATCATACTGCATGTAATTTTTTGTCTGTTTTAACTCAGCATGATTATTTAGAAATTCATCCATGCTATTGTGTGTATCAAAAATTCATTCCTCTTTACTGCTGAGTAATATTCCACTGTATGAATATTGATAGTTTATCCATTCACCTGCTGATGGATATTTTAGGATGTTTTCAGATTTTGGCAATTACAAATAAAGATACTATGAACATTCATGCATAATAAGTCTTTGTGTGGATATAGACTCACATTTTTCTTGGGTACCTAGGAGTGAGATGGCTAGATCTTGTATCAAATGTATGTTTTTATGTCTAATTTTATTTATTTTTTCTTATTTTGGTGTCTGGCCAGTATGGGGATCCAAATCCTTGATGTTTAACTTTCCAAGAAACTGTCAAACTGTTTTCCAAAGTGGTCATTTTAATCCCTCCACATTCTTGCCAATACTTGATGCTATGGGTCAAATGTGTCCCCAAAAGATCATGTACTGGAAACTTAATCTCCATTGTAACAACATTAATAGGGTGGGGAAATCCAATTATGGTACTTGAAAGGTGGAATCTTTAAAGTGATTAGATTGTGAGGACTGTGTCTTAGTGAATGGATTGATCCATTCATGGAGTAATGAGTTGATGGTTTAATGGGTGGTCATGGGCATAGTTCTGATGGCTTTATAGGAGAGCAAGGGAACAGGTTAGCTCTTTCTTCATCAGCCCATTCTTGCCATGTGATACCCTGCATTGCTGTAGAGAGCCACCACCAAGAACAAGGCCCTCACCAGATGTGTTCCCTGGACCTTGGACTTAGCTGCCTCCAAAACCATAAGAAGTAATTTCTTCATAAATTATCCAGTTTCAGGCATTCTGTTATAAGTAACAGAAGCAGACTAATGTACTTGGTAAGGTCAGTCTTTTTAATTGTAGGTATTCTAACAGGTATATAGTGGTAACTCATTGAGTGGGGGGCTAACAGCCTCAGCCATGCACCCCTGACATCCACAACCAACCCAGCGATGACCACCGAGCTGCCATCAGAAGCACCCCAGGCTCCTGAGTACGGGCAGTGGGGGACCAAGGGCCTTAGCTACATCCCCCAGATGTCCCCACACACAGCCCAGCGATGGCTACAGAGCTGCCGTCAGAAATGCCTGAGGCTCCTGAGCTGGGCTGGTGGAGGGCCAAGGGCCTCAGTCATGCCCCACCAACTTCCACACCCAGCCCAGTGATAACTGAGCCACCTCCAGAAACCCCCTGGTCTCTACTGTCAGAATGATGGGGGTGCCATGGCCCTCAACCACACCCCCCTCCTTCCTGCTCCTCCAACTGTATCCCCCTCCCCCTTCCCCTCTCTTCCTACCCTCAACTGTTCCACAACAATACCTTAGAATGTAAAACATAACAAACAAATACATAAAATTTGCATTTCTCTAATGACTAATGGTATTGAGCACTTTTTCATTTGTTTATTTTCCATCTGCATATCTCTTGGTGAAGTGTCATAAAATATTTTGCTTATTTTTAACTTGGCTGTTTGTATTCTTATGGAGTTTTGAGAGTTCTTAATATATTCTTGATACAAGACCTTTGTTGGATACATGATTTGCAAATATTTTCTCCCAGTTTGTGGCTTGCCTTTTTATTCTTCTAAATAGCGTCTTTCAAAGAGTGGACATTTTTAATTTTGGTGAAGTCCAATTTATCGACTTGGTCTTTTATGGATTGTGCTTTTTGTGTCATATGTGAGAAATATTTGTCTAAGATCATAAAGATTTTCTCCTATGTTTTCTTCTAGAACTTTTATATTTTAGGTTTTATATTAAGGTATATAATCTATTTTGAGTTCATCTTTGCATACGGTTAAGATAAAAATGCATTTGGACAAGGCTAAAAGTTTCACGTTAATGTGAAATTGTGTTAGTGAAATTAAACGTAGTTTTCTTTGTTTCAATTTTTTTATTTTAGAACATTGTTACATTAACTTTTTAATAAACATAACTATTATAAAAAGGAAATACTAAACCTAATCCATTGAAATGCTGATTTGTCAAATGCAGCTGATACTCTAGGGACATTAGCTGCCACTCAGAGAAAGTATGATAGATACTTTTTAAAAGGTATATATGGAAACTTAGTGATAACTTATTTTTGAAAGATAATTCTCTGGTTTCTCCCATTCACGACTATATTGCAAACAGAAGCACTAAACCACCTTCATTCTGAACTATCTTTAAGGATGTCTATACTGAGAACAGCCTTGGAAGATAGAAATAGCATTTCCCTACAGAGGACAGGGCAGGTTTGTTTGCTCTGCAGTATAATAAAGATGCTGTTCCCTCTGGAGCAGAGGTTGGGAAGGTTTGCTTATAGCCCATCATGGAAGATGGGGTTCCTAAATCTCAGTCATCACATAAATCCATCTGGGCTATTCTGCATCACCCCTGTAGAACCTGGGAACAAGGGGAACTGACATGAATGTGAAGCTCATCTGCTTGGTGAGCGATGAGTAACAAAGACCCTCGTGTCTGACCCAGGATATCTTGTATCCTCTACTAGGCCACCTTGTTAATTCATAAGTAGAGTAAAATCTCAGACCCTTCACAGTTCTTGACACTTATCTCTCTACTCTTTAGGCCTTAACACAGATCCCTCTAAGGCACGTCTGAGTCATGCTATCAATGATACTGCCTTACCATGCTTGTTAAAGAGAGAAATGTTCTCCTATGGCCAAGAAGCTCACTCCTAACCCTACCTAGGAAAATTCTATACTGCTCTGCACAATAGAGATTAACCCAGAAAAACATTGCCTACAACACTATATAAAAGAGAAAAATTAAATATTTGTCCTTTAGAGGTAGGTTTATAGTTTAAGACAATTTTAAGAGCCTGATTGCAGTGGATTGAATGGCCCCCCAAAGTCACTAAAGCTTAATCTCCACTGTCACTGTTGAGGGTGGGAAATCCTATTATGGTAATTGAAAGATGGGCCTTGAATAGGTGATTAGATTCTGAGGACCATGCTATAATGAATGGATTAATAACGGTGATCATGGGCATGGTTCTGAGGGCTTTAAAAAGAGAGCACAGAGAATCTCTCTCTGCTCTGTCATTTTCTGCCATGTGAGACCCCTGCACTGCCAGTAAAGTCATACCAAAGAAGACCCTCACCAGATGTGTTCCCTGGACTTTGGACTTCCCAGCCTCTGAAATTGTAAGCAATAAATTTCATTTTCTTACAAATTACCCAGTTCCATGTATTTTGCTATAAGCAACATAAACAGACTAATACACTGATTTCTTCCACTTCAAACAGACATTCACATTTTGAGGTACGTGGGAGATATACCGACTTTTTAAAGCTGTGACCTAACCCTCAACATAAGTTATTCATCAAGATTGATACCATTTTAACATAAATACAGAAAAAGCCAACTGTAGAATTAGGTGAGAAATTACTTTCTGTACTTACCTTGGCCAAATCATTATCAGGCTCCACATCCAGTACTTTAAGCAAATCTTCTATGGCTTCCTGGAACTTGTTTTGATGTTTATATGTAGTGGCACGGCGCAGAAGAGCTGAAAGTTTACCAAAATAAAAGTCATGCTTTTTCACATATGGCATTATGGTTATGACACATTTTCAGGTGGAAGAATATAAGTGACACAGAACACTTTAGGATGTAATTATACAAAGTTTAACTATAGCCATTTTCTGTTGTTGTACACACAGAGAATGATACTAAGGTAAACAGAAGAAGGTGCATGTGGCAACTGTCCAGTCTAACAACCCAGCCCTCTGACAGCCCCAGGCCCTGCCAGCACCACCAAGGGCTGACAGTCTCCATCCCTGAGCCTTTCACAGGCCACACTGTATAACACTGGGAAGCTTTTCACCAAATAGTAACGTTTTCCTTCTCAGAATGATCACTAGTTTTATTTCACTACTTTTTTAAACTTAGAAAATGCCTTATTGAAATTTAGTATATTACTGACTAGCATCTAGCTCAGAACAGGCTCATCAGTGATATTTATATAGTGATCTCTAAAACAAGGAGTTACTTAGCACAAGGAACCAAGAGAATCCTAATGATTAAGTCAGCTAGGTTTAGAAATTGAGCACTTTGGTAACTTGCATCGGATTTTCTGGTAGGTTTCTATGTATAATTTGATAATTATTTAATAACGATAATAAATGCCTTTCCAGTCCCATCATTATCTATTACATAATGAGAGAACTTTGCATCATTATTTTGAAAAGGACCAGGCTTGATAATTCTGAAAAGTGCACAATTTATATCTGACACGTTTTAATATGCTATATTAAAAGATAATTATAAATGTGACCAATTTGATTTTACTTTTAGAATGAACCATGAAAATCTAATGGATAAATCACTTTGTCATAAATATAACCAAAACTGTAGCACTGTGCATTAAGTACAGTTTAGCTATTGCTATTTGCTACTCAGATTTCCAAAGGGAATTTCCATGAAGAAATATTCCTGATATAACAATTATCTTTTTTTTCAACTTTTTATTTTAGAATAATTTGAGATTTACATAAAAGTTGCAAAGATAGTACAGAGAATTCCTGTGTCCCTTCACTCATTAGGGGAAGCATTAGCTTCCCCTAATGCTAACATCTTACAGAACTTCTAAGAAATTGCCAAAACTAAGAAATTAAAATTGGCAAAATACTATTAACTAAATGACAGACTTTATTTGAATTTCATCAGTTTCTCCACTAATATCCTTTTTCAGTTCCAGGATGAATCCAAGATACCACACTGCATTTAGAACAAATATCTTTTGAGGTAAAAATAAAGTTTTGAAGAGGAAGTTGTTTATTCACTTAAGCAAACACCAGGTATCTTAAAGTTTTATGGCTATTCTCTACTAGATTTGGGTCTCCAAAATTTGTTTTTTAACAGTGAAGATGCAGATTCTTAAGAAATTACTCAAACAAGGAAGAATTCAAATATATGGTCACTCTAGTGGCAGAAGAGTAGCACAGTGGTTCAATGTGGGTTCTGGGGTCTGTTGTCAGTATTGAGTTCTGGCTCTGTCATTTGTTAGCTGTGTGATCTTGAGTAAGTTGCTTAATATCTCTGTGCTTGGCTTTCTCCTTTGTAAAATGCGTGTGCTAGTAATAGTGTCTGCACCTCTATAAGGCTGTTGTGAAAATCAACAGAGTTAATACATGTAAAGTGCCCGGCAGAGAGCTTGGCAGAGCAGTGGTGTGGGCCCATCAGGAGATGGCAAAACCATCACCAAGCAGCTACCTAAAGCCAGGAGCCAACCCATAATCTGTGACAGAAACCAGCATGCACAAAATACAGGCTCAAGAGGACTTAATGGTAAATAGAGGGCAACCTATGACAATGACAATGACAGGAGCAGCTGATGCATCAGGCTACCCCTCAGCACACCCATGGCTTCTGCCTCCCCCCCCCCCATTTGTAAGCACAATATATACTCCAGGAAAAAAAAATTAAGTGCTCAAATTTATCTGAATCTATAAGTGTTTAAGTAAATATAATGTTTCTATTATAATGTATGCTATTCCCTCTTGGAATGATTCCTTCTTGATAGAAAAGGAGAGTCAAGTCTGATTTGCATACTTTAGGCTCGGACCATGACAAGGTGGTCAGTCACTGAGACAGGCAATCAACAGAGTGCAAGCTTTTGGTGGAAAGATGTACTCAGTTTTGGACAAGTTTAATTTAACTTAAAATTTTAAAATTATTATTAATTTAAAATTAAAATTAAATTATATCTATGATTACCTACATGGAAATGCCTATGAAGAAGCTGGGAGAGGATTCTAGAGCTCCAGTATGGGCTTATGGTTTTTTATATTGATAAATATTAAAAAATTATATTGAATTATACTTAAATTTTTTGGATAAAAAGACATTTCAAATGCAAGCTTGAGATATTTCTCTTTAAAACTACATATATATTTTTTTAAATCTTCTGGGATTACTAGCTACCTCAGTACAAATAATCAGGGGCTTAAATTCCAAGTTAAACTTGAAATTAAAAATAACTTGATGGGGCCGGCCTGTGGCTCACTCGGTAGAGTGCGGTGCTGATAACACCAAGGCCACGGGTTCGGATCCCATATAGGGATGGCCGGTTCGCTCACTGGGTGAGCGTGGTGCTGACAACACCAAGTCGAGGGTTAAGATCCCCTTACCGGTCATCTTTTAAAAAAGAAAAAATAAATAAATAAATAACTTGATGAAGGGCCGGCCTGTGGCTCACTCGGGAGAGTGTGGTGCTGATAACACCAAGGCCACGGGTTCGGATCCCATATAGGGATGGCCAGTTAGCTCACTGGGTGAGCGTGGTGCTGACAACACCAAGTCAAGGGTTAAGATCCCCTTACCAGTCATCTATTAAAAAAAAAATAAAAAAATAAAAAAAATAACTTGATGAAGATGGTGACTCACATAGAAATTCAAATTTACCTGAAATATTTTTAATGTAAACACAATAAGTGTCTACAAAGGGTCTTTAATGCATCCTGTTGTAAATTTAAAAGCATTCTATAATTATTTCTTACCCTTTAAGTTTCCAGGTTCTAACTCCAAGACTTTTTCACAATCCTGAAAAGCACTATTCCAGTTCTGTAATTTGATTTCTGCTTGAGCTCGATTGTTATAGGCAGCTACAGTGGGAAGTGCTGAAATGCTCCTATAAAAGAAACACTTATTGGCAACAAGCACGTCCACAGTAAACATAAGAATATACAGAAACTCAGCTAATGTTGTAAATAAAGCAATCATAGCCTGTGTTGAGCTGAATTGTGTCCCCCCCAAAATTGATTTTTTGTAGTCCTAACCCCACAGTACTTCAGAATATGACTGTATTTGGAAACAGGGCCTTTAATGAGGTAATTAAAGTAAGATGAGGTCATGTAAATGGGCCCTAATCCAATAAAATTGTTGTCCTTATAAGAAGAGGAGATTAGGACACAGACATGTATAGACAGACTATGTGAAGACACAGGGAGAAAAGGGCCACCTAAAAGCCAAAGAGAAAGGGCTTAGAAGAAACTAACCCTGCCAACACCCTGATCTCAGGCATCTAGCTTCCAGAACAGTGAGAAAATTAATTTTTCTTGTTTAAGCCACTCAATTGGTGGTACTTCGTTGTGGCGGCCCTGGCAAACTAATACAGCCTCTATCATCAAAAGTAACAAAATATATTTCTGCAAACATACTAAATCAACATTTAAGATGGATGCTTAAATATTCAGTTAATAGGTTTACAGTCAACTCAGGCTTTGGAGGTGCCATAGGAATTCAAAAACCCATAGATCTCCTAAAAAAACATTTTAGTTAATATCAAATATCAAACACATCCTTTTGACTTCTTGGAAACAATTTCCTAGTACAAAAAAAATGGAGCAATCAATCACAATTAATATCCTTTATTCAGCTGTTACTGTGTTAACAGAAACATTAGTTTGCAATCTAAAAGTAGATTAAACTCCAAGGAAATGATCATAAAGTAATTTAACTGAAGGAAACAGTGGACGGTAGTCAGTTGGATGAGGAATACAGACTTCAAGAGAGCAAACTTTGCTAGATTAATGGTATGTATGCAAAATAATTAATGAAAAGAAGAATTTAAAGTCTACTTAAGTTGGTTAGAGCATGGTGTTGATAACACCAAGGTCCAGAGTTCAATCTCTGTACTAGCCAGCCACCAAAAAAAAAAAAAAGATAAAGTCTACCTAGGTCTGTCTGGTTAGCTCAGCTGGTTAGAGCATGGTGCTATAACACCAAGGTCAAGAATTCCAATCCCCAAACTGGCCAGCCACCAAAACACAAAAAAGTCTACCTGGCTATTGCTTAAAAAGTTGATTTGTAATGCTATAAAATAATGGATACCCAGACAGAGGAAAGATAAGTGTATCAGTGCACTGAATTTACTAAATCCAGAAGAAGACTAGAAGATAAAAATGGAAAAGTCACAAAAATAGGCGATTTACTAACACCATTAAAGATGAATACAAATAAATTACATGGCTGGGCAGAAACCAGTTATGGAAAATACATGTAAGGGTAAATAATAAGAGTACCTGACACTGAGTACTTCCCACAGGCCAGGCACCAAGCACTTTGCATACACAGCTCATTTAATCCTAATTACAACCCATGGAGGAGTTATTACTGCTCTTCCCATTTTACAGAAGAGAAAATACATGCAACAAAAAGGTTAAGTACAGTGCCACAGCCACAAGCTAGTAAATGGTAGTCAAGATTCAAACCCATTCTGCTCTCTTCGCCACCACGTTATGCTGCATTTCAGCACGCTTTTACTTAATCCTCACAGCAGCTAGAGAGGAGGATTATAGCCTCATCATATTGAGGAAACTAAGGCAAGAGAAGTAAAGAATCTGCCCAAGGTTAGAAAGTGGCAGTCTGAGTTCCCTTAGCCTTCATTACTATGCTGCTTTAATTCTTCAGCTATATGACTCCTCAAAAGAAGAGGATAAGAAAAATCTTGTTACCCATAGTAGACATGAGAATCTCCACTGGTGGAAATCTACAAGGAGAGAGAGAACAATATTGGGGCTGACTTCCAACTGCCTCAACAGGAGAGGCTGTACAGAATGAATGATCCATCAAATATCCTCTTCACCTTGTGTGCTCACTTGAGCAGTGTGAGATAAACTTCATTAGAGACAAACAACACTGAACAAAATCTGATCTTCTTTCCAAAGATGGAAAAAAAAAATTGTACAGAGTTTAATTCTAAGGTGGTACTAGTGATTCTATAAGCACAGTTTGTCTGTAATAATATTTTAGAAACTGAGTGTACTTTTCATAGACTGTTAGGAAATTCAAAAGTTCACATAATGTTGCACTGAAATGGCATTAATCAAAGAAGTAAAAAATAAAACTAAAAAAGTTCATAGAACAGGTATTTATTGAATATCTACTATAAACCACATACTTTGCTGGGCACTGGGGATAAAATGGTGTTAAAAAAAAGGTGACAATAGAAAAATAGCTTTGCCCTGTCATTTCCCTAAGAAAGCACTGCATTTACCCACAGTAGGCCAAAAAATGGTAGAAAAAAAACAAAACAAAAAAACACTTGACAAGCGAGCTCTGCTCTTTCAGAGCTTACAGTCCAGTTAGAATCCAATCATACAAATGTAAATTGAGCCTCCCACAGGTGCTACAAAGGACAGGTAAGACTGCTATAGGGCCCATAAACTGGAGGGCAGGGTGAGATAAAGTGGAGATTTAACCTAGTCAGGAAGGTCCGGGAAGACTTCGCCAAAGAAATAAGGCATGGGCTAAGATCTGAAGAATAAGTTAGAGTTGATGAGATAATGAGAGAGGGGAAAAGCACTCTAAATGAAGGACCCAGCATGTACAAAGGCCCTACAGTGGGAAGGAGCACCATAAGTACCAGGATTAGATACAGGCAGTCTGAACACAGAACCCACATTCTTAACCTCTGTGCTGTGTAAATTTTCTGTTGAGTTCCTTTCAGATGACTTCTATTCTCTCTATAAAATGGGAAAGTTAGGTCCTCTGTCAAAAGAGGAGGTGGGGTGGGAGCTTAGAGGTTGAGAAAAGTATTGAACAAACAAGACAAACACAAGCAAATTTATCATAAATCACAAGTACAATAACTTGAGTGATTCTGACATAGACTATTTAGCTTATTTATATTGTTTCAACAACTAAAACATCATCATTTTTTAAAATGGCAAGTTTAAGCCACCACAAAAATCTACTCACCTGGTATAATACATCACTGCCTCTTCATAATCTCCTGAGTTGAAAGCTTCATTTCCTTTTTCCTTTTCACGAGTGGCAACAAAATCCTTTTCCTTCTCAGTGAGACCTAGAAATAAATGTTATCTGCTATATTTGAAAATATAACTTAATTGAATTTTTTAAAAGTTTAAATCCAAGAATGGTAAATTAACAGAAGTAGAAAATCATAAAATAAATAAGACAAAAGAAAGTATCTTCTAAGTTTAGAAATATTTTTCTTGTTTTAATTTTAATCATTCAAAATGTTTAAGGACTTGTTTTTTTTAATGACCGGTTTTGTTTTACTTTAAAGATGCTGGCCGGCCAGTTCGCTCAGTTGGTTAGAGCACATCCTTGTAACACCAAGGTCAAGGGTTCAGTTTCCCATACTGGCAAGCTGCCAAAATAAAATAAAGATGTGTCTATGGACTTCAAAAGAAAACAAATAAACTGCCCCATTTTTTCGTTTTGGGGGAAAAAAAAATTGAGGAATTTGGAGGAAAAAGAGGTTTGGAAAAGAGGAACAAAAAACAAATGAATTACAGTAAGAAAAACAGGTTTACAGTTTGAAGTCCTACTGAATTTAAGTATTATAATTATTATTCATATAAAACTAAGTGTTAAAAGATAGAAATGAATTTGTTAGAGGTGGTTAGCTCTAGAAGAAAATCCATAAACTTTTAATGTAAATCTACAGCACTTTAAAGACAATGTCTTCTAGGTCAACAGTTTTTATTATAATACAAAAAATTTAAAGACAACAAAATTATTCTTGTTTTGTTCCCCAATTACCTCCTGTGTCTATTCTTGTCTCAATTTTAGACAAATGTGACTTGTTGTCTACTACAGTCTTTTCTTTGTAATCTTCATCAATTTTTGAACATTCCTTTTCCACGTCAAATCTTAAATGAAAGAACAAAAACTGAAAAAAGTATGAGCCAAAAATAAAACGTATTATTGATATTCTTATATATGCATTACTGTGCCTTTGGATACGAAAAATGCATAATAGTTTGTATTTCAAGTCATTTGCATTCTTTCTTAAGAAAACATGCAATTTAGAGAGGACTTAAATATTAATCAGATCTAACCTATTCAGAACTTTGTAATTAAAATTGTGACTAATTTCTCTCAACTTAAAATTTTCTTTTTTATTTTGGATGGGAATAAGGATTGCATTAGCTGTTTTTGGTTGGTTTTATAAATAAAAAGATGTAGTAGTTTTTCATTTAATGAAAAAACGGGATCAAAAAGTGCTTAGACTAGATACTCAGCACTCTACTGATGTAATTTGGTATTCTTGACATGTTCAGATTTATAATAATTATTTAAGAAGTTAATACAGTATTTTATGGTAGAGAAGTTTTCACTGCCAAATTTTTACACATAAATAAATATAAAACATACTTATCCCACTCTGCATAATCCCTTGGAATTTTCTTTTTAGCTGGCATACTTCGAGAATACTTTTCCTGAAAGAATAAAATCATATTCTATAAGACATATTTATCTAAGATTAGCAGGTTTTAATGTAAGTGCAATGAAAAGTGTTGAATTAAGATATGCAAATAGAATGGATAAGGAAAAAAGGTACCTTTGAAGTTAGAACTTCAGTATTATAATTATTAACATAATAATATAGAGCAGATATAAGATTTTAAATTTGTAGTTAATTCTGAAAACAGTCTACAGATTCTTATGTATGTATATAAAATTTAAAAGGTCATGTGTGAAACATGATTATTACTGATTTTCTTATAATAAAAAGTATTACACCCCAATTCATTCTTTTAAAACCTAGGCATTAGAGAAATAAGAATAACTATTTGCTGTATTAGTCAGAACTGTTCTGTTTGCAATGATGGACTAATTCTATTTAAAAAGAATAAATTATCAGCTATCTAACCAAACTGATGAAGGTGCAAGGGCACTGCTGGAAAAGGGATTCCTATACCTTTTTTCCAGCACTCCCTTTCTCCCACATCCGTAGTCGCTGCTCCTCTCTGCTTACTGACTTCATTTTCCTCTATAACTACTTGCTTTCTCCATGTAGCAGGAAACATTCCTACAAGCAGTCTGAGGTTACAACCTCACAGCCATCTCCAGAGAAGGCAAAGAGAGTGACTCTTCTCTCCATCTTCAGTTAGAAAAATCCCAGGGAAGGACACTGATTGGCTAGCTTGGGTCATGTACCCATCCCTGACCACGTACTAGCTTGGAGCTAAGTGGCCCAAAAACAATAGCCACTATACTCACAAAAAGTTAAACTTCCAGAGAGAGTACAATTTTATGCTACATAAGTACTAAGAAATGTTAACTTAAAAAAATATAAATCTAGGGCCGGCCCAGTGGCGCACTGGATAAGTGCGCCACTTGGGAAGCGCGGCAGCGCTCCCGCCCGAGGGTTCAGATCCCACATACAGACCGGTTCCCGCTCACTGGCTGAGCGAGGCGCGGGAGCAACACCGAGGGTTGCAATCCCGTTGCCGGTCCCCAGTCCGGTACAGGGGCAACACTGAGGGTTGCGATCCGTTGCCGGACACGGAAAAAGACAAAAGACAAAAAAAAAAAAAATAAAACCCGGGGGCGGCCCGGGGGGCGCAGGGGATAGGGGCGCCACTTGGGAAGCGCGGCAGCGCTCCCGCCCGAGGGTTCAGATCCCACATACAGACCGGTTCCCGCTCACTGGCTGAGCGAGGCGCGGGAGCAACACCGAGGGTTGCAATCCCGTTGCCGGTCCCCAGTCCGGTACAGGGGCAACACTGAGGGTTGCGATCCGTTGCCGGACACGGAAAAAGACAAAAGACAAAAAAAAAAAAAATATATATATATATATATATAAATCTATGTAGTCTGAAGAAAGGAAGTATAGCAGAATTAATAATAATAAAATAAAGTAGGCTCAGTTAGTTAAAGCATTGTGTTATAAGACCAAGGTCAAGAGTTCAGATCCCTAAACCAGCCAGCAGTCAAAAAAAACCAACAAAACAAAACAAAAAATAACAAAGTAGAGACTGATTTGTTTTATTTTTATTTTTTATTTTTTAGTGGCTGCCTGGCTGGCTGATTTGTTTTTAAACGATTACATGTCTTCACTATCATTAGGGTTGGGTTTGCTAATAGATGATTTAGTAATACTAGGAACTATAAACTGATGAAGAAGTACTATGCACTTCTTACAGGCTCAATAAATATCACTGAACTCTATTTCCTGCTTATAAAGATAATATTCTCAATGCTAAGATGGTATTATGGGTTAAACTGTGTCTCCCAAAATGATATGGTAAAGTCGTAACTCCTGGTACCTGTGAATGAGATCTTATTTAGAAATACAGTCATGCATTACTCAACAACAGGGATATGTTCTGAGAAATGTGTCATTAGGCAATTTTGTCCTTGTGCAAACATCATAGAGTGTGCTTACGCAAACCTAGGTGGTCTAGCCTACTACACACCTAGGCTATACGGTACAGCCTATGGCTCCTAGGCTACAGACCTGGACAGCATGTTACTATACTGAATACTGTGGGCAGTTGTAACAAAATGGTAAGTATGTGTATCTAAACATATCTAAATGTAGAAAAGGTACAGTAAAAACAGGACAGCACAGTAGGTTAGTTTACACCAGCATCATCACAAACACATAAGCAATGCACTACGACGTTACTAGGCAATAGGAATTTTTCAGCTCCATTATAATCTTACAAGACCAGCATAGTATATGCGGTCAGTTGTTGACTGAAATGTTGTTATGCAGTGCATGACTGTAGGGTCTTTGCAGATGTAATCAAGTTAAGATAAGGTCATTAAGGTGCGCCCTAACACAGCAAGATGAGTGTCCTTATAAAAAGAAAAGAGACTTGCACAGAGGAAAGACAGCCATGTGAAGATGAAGGTAGAGATTGCAGCTATGCTGACACAAGCTAAGGAACATTGGGGTTAAGAAACTGTAGGAGACAAGGAAGGATCCTCCCTCTACAGGTTTCAGAAGGAGCATGGCCCTACCAATACCTCGATTTCAGACTTCTTGCCTCCAGAATTGTGAAAGAATAAATTTCTGTTCTTTTAAGCCAACCAGTTTGTGTTACTAATACAGGTGTTACAGCATAGTTTAAAAAGAGCACTGATTAAACACCAGCATTTGGTTCTCAAACACCTACATGTGACAAAAAATATCCCCCTTAAGAAATCAAAAAATAATGTAAATTGGTTTGACAGTGGTAGTCATTTCACAACGTGTACATATATCGAAACATCATGTTACATACCATAAACATATACAATTTTAATTTGTCAATTATAACTCAATAAAGAAAATAAATAAATAAATAAATAAATAAAATGTGGATCAATAAGAATCTCAGGAGACAAACTCAGGTGTGTGGGATAAAATTTAATATGCAATATCATATTTTTATATTATAAGAGAAGGCAATGCTACCCGAGTTTGAAAGTTGGGACGTCAAGTGCCCCCTCTACATATTTCATAGTACCCTATTTTTACTGTCACAATCTATAACATACTACAACTTTTTGATACTGTGATACTTTCATACCCCTGAAAATTATTGGTCAAATTGAGTTATGCAGATCTTCCAAATATTCACAGACTTCATTATACAATTAAAGAAATCACATTTGCTAATATCCCTATGGAGCTCATCCGAACAGTTTTTCAAGTACATTGAATAAAATTTATAGGCCATTGATCTGGACTGAGCTCCTGCACTAGGCCCCAAAAGACCAAATCAAAATGGAGTCACTCGTGCTAAAGTTCCGTTATCACCAAACCTAAACTAAATTGTTTATCTGACCTTCCTAGAAATCAGGAGAGAAATATAATAGCCAAATCTCCAAACAGGTCAACTTTAGCCTATGATAAGAAAGTCCCCTCTGCTTTAATCCTCACAAGGAAAGTGACCTGAAGTAACCTGATGTTAACCAATCCATTGTTGTCTTCCTTGTTCCTGCTCAAGCTACCTTATAAAAACCACCTGTTCTGCCATGCCCAGCAGAGCACTTTTTCTAAATTTTTAGAAGAGATGCCACCCCGATTCATGAATCACTAATAAAAGCCAAAGACATCTTTAAACTAAATTTATTTTAATTTTGTTTTCTGACAAGTAGAAGCATCCCCCTTAAGGTGATATACTTGGTCACAAGCAGGTATTTGAGAAATGTATATGAATATTAAATCCTTAATTTGCATTGAAAGCTCAGATTTTCTCACTGACAACCAATAATGTCAGTTGTTTTCCTTAAAGTATGACAGGCCCACTTCACTCATTTTCAACAAAATGCTTGCCAAAACCCCAAGTCTGAATAACCATAGTTTGTCTGCCAGCCATTATGTCAAGCAAAAACAGTCTTCCAGAAAGAAGTGCCTAGTTCAGCTCACAAGTGCTTTTCTTCAGATAACCATCATATTTCACTGCAGGGAGGTGCTTTCTGCATACTTCCCACTTTGTCACAAAAAATACTGAACAGACATGTCCTTGAGGTTCAAGATTTAACAAAGTAAATATTTTATTGAAGAATAGAGAAAAAGAAGGTAAATACATTGTTTCAAATAATTAACTTGGCATAAGTAAGAACTATACCCCTATCACCAAAGGTATTTTTAAATTAACTTGGAATTTCTCACTGTGTGTTCTAGTACAGTTTGGTGCCATTGCCTTGATTTATGTTAAGGAACCAGCAGTTTTACCCTCAGTGGAAATATCAACACAGTGAAAAAGATGAGACTTTATCATTATCTTTTTTTCCAGTGGTTGGCCAGTACACAGAACTGAACCCTTGACCTTGGTGTTACAAGGCTACACTTTAACCAACTGAGCTAACTGGCCAGCCTCCTTTTTAGTATTATTTTTAAAATAGCATTGACTTTCTGCACCCTCTGGAAGGATCTCTGGGACTTCAAGGGTCCCCGGACCACACTGAGAACCTCTGTTCCACTCGTCTGTCTACTCCACTGGACTATAAGCCGTTTGAGGGCAAAGATCAAGTGTTATTGTTATATTCTCAGAGTACAGACTTAGCACACAGTGGGCATTCAGTGCATATGAATTCATTGATTACAGATAGTGGCACTCTTACCATATTACTGTGTACCTCAGTTACCTAAGTAATTCCTACCTAATAGGGAGTAAAAATATCCAGGAAGGTAAATTATCAGAGAGCAGAGAGATGAAGGACTATGAATATTTTAAAAATAAAATTGAAGATTCAAAGAAAAGATGAGAATAACAAGAATGAGCTAACCCAGAATCAAAAGACTTGGGTAGCAGTGCTATTGGAAATAACAGGGATGGGTGGATGGTAAGAAGCCCAGTTTCAAGTCAAGAAGAAAGGACCTGGAACTCCAACAGGCCCCTTTTCTCTGGAACCCATGGGTTAAAAAGGAGAGGTCTACATGACACCATAGGGACCAACCACAGAGAAATGATGAGGGGGGAGAACATGCACTAAATAGAGGAATGACTTCTACAAGTGCTTTATTTTATTTTATTTATTTATTTTTTCCTTTTTGTCTTTTTTCGTGACCGGTAACGGGATCGCAACCCTCAGTGTCGCGCCCATACCGCGACCGGCAACGGGATCGCAACCCTCGGTGTCATGCCCGCACCGCGCTCAACCAGTGAGCAGACCAGTCTCTATATGGGATCCGAACCCTCGGCGGGAGCGCCGCCAAACACCGCACTCTACCAAGTGCGCCACTGGGCCGGCCCAACAAGTGCTTGATTTTCAATCCATAGTTAATTAAGTTATGAAAGAGCAAAGGCCATAAACCCAAGATGCAAGTCATCAAAGGAAAAAGCTGTTTCATTTTGGTCTCCAAGTGATGAGATGTAGCCTACTGACAAAGGGGACAGAACACAGCCGGCTGAAAAAAATCCTCAACTTTCTTGCAGGACATAACATTTTGACAACTCTGATTAAACTGAGTTAGCCTCTTAATAATTAAACTGAGTTAGCCTCAACATCAGCTCTCTCCTCCTACCATCCACAGTCCACACCAAAAAGGCCTACCTTGCCAACATGAAGACGGCCGTTTGAACCACGAACTGGAGGCAAATTATCTTCCATTGCTGGAAATGTTTCAGTGTCATGAAAGTGCATTTTACTTTCTTCTTTTTTAATTTCTGATACCCAACTCTGAGAAGAATAGAGAAAAAGAAGGTAAATACATAGTTAGAAATAATTAACCAGGCCTAAGTAAGAACACTACATCATAACTTCCTATGAGTCGATGTTTTTAGGTGACAATTTGATCATGCCATTCTCTCCACCTGGAAAGCCCTTCTCCTTTTTTGTTTTTAATTGTTCTAAATACATACAACATAAAGTTTACCATCTTAAACATTTTTAAGTGTTTGGGATTGTTGAAAGTGTATTCACATTGACATTGCCCTTACTACTGTTCTCTTTTCTTTGTCTTTGTTTTTGGTGGCAGGCCAGTACAGGGATCTAAACCTTTGACCCTGGTGTTGTCAGCACCATGATCTACCAACTGAGGAAACTGGCCAGCCCTTTGCCCTTTTATTTATCTTGAAAGATCATACTCATCATCCCTTCCAGCAAAATTCGCCTGAACTCCCTGGTTGGGCTAAAAGGGCTCTTCCTTCACACACTATCACAAAGATTTTAAATCATCTATTTATTCTTGGTCTCTCTCATCATACTGTAAGATCCTTGAGGGCAGGACCTATGTCTTAATCTTATCTTTGTGACCCAGTGTCTGTCACATAATAGGTTTTAATAATGTTTATTAAACTGACTTGTCACAGGTGCCAGGGAAAAAACTAAGCAAGAGATTTCTTTCTTATCTGTGAAATTCTACTATTTATTATTCAGCAAATATATATGGAGGGTCTGATATCTGTCAGAGACTCTTATAAGCACTGGGATACAGCAATAAACTGTATTAACTGTCCTATCAGTATAGGAGGCAGGGAGGATGAAGAGGGGGCAAAGAGGAGAAATACGATGAGAAAAAGAAAAGCAATAAGGGAAGAAGAGGAATTATAGAAAGGAAAAGAATAAGAGAGACTGGGGAAAGAGTGAGAAATGGAAAAGAAAGTAAAAAAGAAAGGGAAATGAGAAGGAGACTCACTCAAGAAGCGGCCAGCAAGAGAAAGGACATGCAATGGGAAGCAGGCTCTGCAACTAAAACTAGGCTGTTTACCCCCTGAAACTAAGACCAAAAAACTCTGGCCATAAAATGTTATTTTTGACTTGTAGACTGATGACCAGATTTTCAAACTCAAGTCAATATACGGTAAAATGTGAAAGCTGAAAGTTGAAAAAAACCCAGCATTCTGAGTTAGAGAATATCTATACCTCAAAATTGTTTTTACTTGTATTATTCATAGAGCTGGCTGGTTAGGTCAGTTGGTTACAGTACAGTCACCAAGGTCAAAGTCACCCACACTGGCCGGCGGCCACAAAAAATAAGAATAATAATAAAGAAAATAAATGATGATTCAATCCCAGGAAAATACGCTGAAGAAAATAAATTAAAACAAAAACTATATCTCTAGAGTCTATTTCAAAAAATAATTTCTTAAGCAAAATGAAACTAGAAAGGTACTCAGAAAATATAGGTAAATGTGAGGGTACTTCAAAAAGTTCGTGGAATGGGCCGGCCCTGTGGCTCACTCAGGAGAGTGCGGTGCTGATAACACCAAGGCCAAGGGTTCGGATCCCACATAGGGATGGCCGGTTAGCTCACTGGGTGAGCGTGGTGCTGACAACAC